CTGCTGAATCAGTTTCTTCCTATCACGGTTAGACCTCTTTCTCTCATCCCATTGCCAGTCCTGGTGATGGAAACCCTGAAACGATTAGGAATGCCATAAATTAGATTGCAGAGAAAAACATATATACACATTTTTGAGTCTCTACACACAGTATAGCTCAGAAATACAGATCAAAATTTTATTTTCATGTTGGTAATAAAAATAATTCCATGACTTCTAAGCCATTGCATAAACACTATAGTGTAGAAAAGTTTTAACAAGTGTTAACAATTTTAAACAGTTCACTACAAGTAAATGAGTATGCATCACAAATAGTATGCTTTGTATTAAGAACAATTTCGTTCACAGATGCATTTCTGTCCATACACTCAAAACACTAATGGCTTCCATAAATGAATATGAGTAAAAATTCCACATTTATTTCAGGTCTGGTGATGACCACAGTTACACAAGCATAGTGTGACATTAATAATACTACTACCTATGTTTAATACTAGGATATTCTGAATGGCAAACAAGTCTGTCTTTAATAATCTCCTATTCAAAGAAGACTAATAATAAGCCTATTACATGCACCTTGAGATCTATCTGTAATTAGCATACTTCTAGTCAAATTACAGCCTCCTAACTGTACGAGCCCTGAGAAATAACAATTTTAATCCATTATTCCCCAGGCTAAGATAATTGTGACAACATAATGGCATTCACATTAAAAATGATACTCTTACATAAATTAACACAGAACTTTACTCAATACCAAAATGAATCTTGAAAATCTGTTTAGTTTGTTTTTATGTGTTTTGTTAATTCAGCAAAATACCATACTGTAGTCTCTCTATAATTTTAATGTATCCAGTTTCTAGATGGTCTATACAGTCACAAGGATGAATACTTACAAAGGTCAGATTTCACTTCTGACTTCTTCCAAATAGTCATCTCTAGTCAACTGCATATATTTTGTTATTCTCCATTTTAAAGTACTGGTGTAAAAATACGTATTTATTTGTATTTGAAGTTGACTTGCTTTAGTATCTTACTAAATTATATATCACTTACAGAATATGGAATTCCTCACAAAAAGAATGTGTGTATTATTTTCATATGATTGCTATGTATGGATTACCTAAGACTTCATCTATACTTCTAGCAAGCTGCCCAGTCTAAGAATTTCACACGTAGGAATGTTTCTTTGGTATGTGTTTTTTTTCATTCTCCACAAAATGGTTTGTTGATACTTTGCAAATGTATCTGTAATACAGCACCAAAGAAACTCACAAGGACTAACTGCCAAATTTTCTATACCCATACTACTATCAGAGACACATCATGTATTTTCAAGATTCATCACTGTAAAACACAAAACACACAACTTTAAAAAGCAACATATTAAACATTCATTTCCTTGAAAAATGTAGCACATATAAACTATGAATGCCAATGTCACGATCCACAGTGCAAGCGCTGTTTACGTTCCTTTTTTCTTTATATCACAAGATTAGGAACACACCCTGTTACTAAAACCAAAACAAAAAAAAAAAAAAAAGGGATCAAATATAACCCTAGGTCATAGACAGATGCACTAGAATACATATGAAGACCTATAAACTTTGACAAGACAGCACAAAACCACACTTCTCTAACTCGTAGGTAACAAACGTCACATAGCTGCCTATGTGCAGCACAATGTGGCCTAAGCTCATTTCTTCTAAAATACCAAGTAAAAATTTTCACTAAGGTATTTCTGAATGTTTTTGTGAGCACAATGGCTGCAGAATGCTGTTCTACACGAGATAAATATAGTAAACCAGTGTCCAAAATAACTGCTTGTTTGATAAACATGTAACAGTTTCAAACTAGAATTACATACTATTCTCTGATTTGCTCACTGTTTAAAAAAGAAAAAAAATATCAAACCCTTACATAATTAAGTTTGCTGTAGTCCAAAATGCTGCTAAGGTTTAAAAATCAGTCTTTGTCAAGACTGAACAGAAGTAAAAAATACATTAATACTTACAGCCTACAAACTTGGTGATCTAAATTCCTTTTGTTTAAAAGTCCAAAGCTGGCTACACCTTTAAAACTGCAATATCTTATTTTGGGACAGAAAAACGTGTTTGAAAAATTGCAAATACAGTCAAATTTTATACTTTTCTCGGTACAAACATACGACAATCTGTGTTAAGTCAACAAAATCGCATTCTTAAACTCATATTTGGTCCTTAGAGTGATCTTCAAAATTTTGAAACAGAAATACAAATATAGTTAATATTTTACCATACTTCACCCCTCCCAAAAGGTCTCCAACATTCCTGCAGATCAACACGTCTTAAGAAAGCAGAAACAAGTCTGTACATTTAGTTCCTATATAAAATGTGTAATGATTTTTTCTAACTCGGTCCTTTGTACAAAGAATGCTAAAACCCAAAGGGAATAGTGATTTCAGTACTACTGGCTTGGGCCCTTTAATACTGACACAGTTCTAAAAGCTCTAATTGGACAATAGTAATTTTAGTATACACATTGCTTTTTGTTTTAGCATGACTTAACTTTAAACAGATTAACTCTTTGCTGCCTGTGTGAACTCACTTGTTGTGATGAATACAGTAATATGGAGATACAAATCATGTAACACAATAGCAGGTCATTTCAATCTAAGTTGAACTAGTGTCACACCTGAATTTAACAGAAAAAGGAGTAATGCAGGCAATTATTCCATGTAAGAAAAGAAAAATATACAGTGTTAACATGCCATAATTACCTTCTCCTGAATTGCATGCTTCCAAAAACCTGGATAAAGTAAGGATATTACCACCTTTTAAAAGAATCACCGTGTCAAAGTGCCACTGCCTGATTGCATTCATAATTATTAATAAGGATACATTACTACTAATTATAATTGATAGTGTACTTCCTTTCAAACATGCATTACTTCATTACTGAAAAAGAGTATTTTTAAATATTTACAAAAGCAAGAGATGTTATCTCAGTTATTGTCAAATTGTTCAATGCACAATTAAGCAATAGAAATTATTTGCAAAATTTGGGGGATTTATTACATCTTCTGCCATTTTACAGAATACTGGGCATAGGCACTTGGTAATATTTTATCTATACATACATATGTAAATAATATATATATCATATCTGCTCCTAGTGAGTACCACACAGGTTAGGAGATGTACAAAAACTTTAAGACTACAAAAATCTAAAGTGAAGGAAATATGCAAATGCACAGTCTTTACTAAAACTGATCTGTTTCACAAAATTGAAAACGTATCTTTGAATATGAAAGCATATGTGCCTGTTTTTATCTCCACTGGTACATTTATAAATCCTACAGTATGCAGTTAACTTATAAATTGTAGAAAAACTAGGTAAGTTATAATTTCTATTTAACCATATTGTGATTTAACAGTAAAACCATGTGAAGTATTTTAAATTCACAGTATACATATAACAGGTTATATTATTGCATATTAAAAAATAAACATAAGAGCCAGAAAGCAGCTTGAAACAATTTACAGCATATCTTCTAACAAAAAAAACCCAACAATTAAAAAGTGCTTTTAGATTAATCGGAGTTTTTTGAACACCCAAGTAAACCGTGTTAGATCAATTCCAAAATACTGGCTCTGGCATTTCATACAAGAGACATGGCAAAGGGACCATCTGTACTGTTGAGTGTGTAGTTACTGTATTTATGCATCCATCTTCTGTTAATGAAAATAATAAAACACTCCATTCAGGCATTATGGTAAGATTTATACAAAGTGATAACAGTGCAAATGAACCTAAGTATATTGTGCACTAGGAATGTAAGTGGAAATCAAAAAGGGCTGCAATGGTATTGTGGTGGGAATAAAAGAACATCAAGACTATAGAACCTCATCAAATGACTGAAGTCGATATGTAAAGGTGAGCAAGTCTCATTCTCTATATTAGAGCAACTAAGTTTCTCACATCAAAACGGAAACCAGTCTAGCACTATTCGATGGATTAATTATGAGTGATCTAATTCTTATGCAAAACACAAAACCATAAAATTATTTAATTCATGAACATGACATGAGTACTATGCCTGTATGTTACCACAGATTTATTTTTTTTCTTGCAGCAGGGACACTCTTCTTGTGCAGCTGCACAGTGATCACAGAGTACATAATGTTGACATGGATTCAGGATAATGCTACGATCATCTTCCTGACATACAATACACTTCTTCGACTGAAGCTGAAAAATGACCTGTAAAAAGATTACTGCACTCAGTAAAAACAAATCCAAAGTATACAATTGTGTTCTAGGTGCTTTATGGTTAGCTGTTCCAAATAAACTTCTAATTTAACAACACAAAGGACAGTGTTTTTATATGACAGATAGCTGAATTGCAGGTCATAAGCTCAGAGCATGCACAATGTTTAACGTAGCAGCTGGAGGAGTATGGAGGAGTATAGGTACTTTTAGAAAGGAAAATATCTAGGACTGAGCATCTGGACTGAAATGTTCCTGTATAATCGGGATGAGTGATGCAAACAATCAAAAAAAAGGTCTTTTCTGTTGTCATATACTCCCTCGTTTTGCCATTTTTTACAACTGTAAATATATGTCTCCACGTGATAAAATGTAACAACCCTATTAAGGAACAAGAAGAACTGAAAACCATCTAAAAGCTTTGTTAATTTTTGATGAGCAAGGCATGGTTTGGACTAAAAGAACTCAGAAAAACATGTGTGGCACTGCCTAAAACAGCAACATTCTTCTGGAAGGAAGAGCTTAGGTGAAGAGGTCACAGTGGTAAAGGAAACCTGAGGAGCTGAAAAAGGTGCTAACAGTTCTGATTGCTCCAGCCTGGCAGAGATGATTTCCATTCCAGAAGGCCATGACTATTTTGGAAGAGATCCCAAGACTCCTTTGCTCCTCTTTAAAATCTCTTAGGAGAAAAACAACAGCAGTCCCTAATCCAATCCATAATCCTGTAAATGTACTTGATAACAGGAGGCTGGTAACAAGCAAGTCTCATCCTAGACCACCTACTTTATTGATTAAGACTTCAAATCATGTTTTAAACTCATCTGAAGAGGGCCTGGCTTTTTTTTTTCCATGGCTGTAGAGCACACTGATACTGGACAGGAGGGGCTCTGAGACAGAGAAGACATTGCAGAACTCGGAGTTGAGAGCATGGCAGACTGCCCCAGTAGTGAAAGGAACTTTTTTTGTCTGGACAGTTCCACCATGGTCAAAACAAAACAGCAAGAATTGATATCGTATGTGATGTCCATTGCCCTTGGAGGTTGCAGCGTAGAATGCAATGTGAAACCAAGTTGTGTCCAGCAAGGTCTGAAGTATGGTGCCTAGAGCAGCATAGTCCTTCCTTGACATGCTCAGAGGAGTGGCACCCAATATTTAATGGCTTTGAGAGCCCCGAGAAATTACCTCAATAGAGCAAAGAAAGAACATCCTAAATTTTGGCAGAACACGAGTCTCAGTTTGAGAGAAGGTGAAATACAGCAATATGTCACTAAAGTGACTAAGGGACTGAAGCATCTAACATATGAGAGGCTGAAAGAGCTGGGATAATTTAGCCTGGAGAAGAGATGGTATCTTAGCAGTATGTATAAATACCTGATGGGAGGGAGTAACAGATAGGGACAGACTCTTCTTGGCAGTAACCAGTGAAAAAAGAAGCAATGAGGACAAATTAAAATACAGAAAGTTCCATATAGACACAAGAAAAAAACCCTTTTCTTACTGTGAGGATGGTCAAACACTGGAAACAGTTGCCAGAGAAGGTTGCCCACAGAGGTGATGAATGCTCCATCCTTGGAGACACTAAAAGCAGTACTGTGCACAGCCCTGAGCAGCCTGCTTTGAGCAGGGCGTTGGACTGGATGGTTTCCAGACGTCCCTTCTAATGTCAATGATTTTATGCTCCAAGTCTATATTGGCCTGACCACACAAGCTGCTAGCAGGGAACCTCACCACCTACCTTATAAACAAGTGAAAAGTATGTAACAATTTTCATTTATTTAGGACAACTTTTTTTAATTTATTTATAGTGCCCAAAATTTTAGAGGTAAAAGCTGGCTTTTAAGTAATTTCTTTCCCCCCCCCCCCATCGCTCCAAGAATTCTTGTGGATCACTTGCAGTCTGTTCTGACAGCTGACCAAAAACTTAGAAGACTATGTTAGGCTGAGAAATCTGAGCCATCCTGTTCCAGAAAAGAAAGAGTTAACACTGAGAGCAATGTTGCTCTTTGAAATGAAACCTGGCATAAATATATCATTGAAGGTTATTGAGCTGCCAGTTTCAGTTTATCAAAAATAGTTATGTAGGTGAAGAAACTCACCTCATCTATTGTTTCTAAATCTAAGTGCAGACGACTTTGCAAGGAACGAAGTTTTGGCAAGGATATATTTTCTATATCTCCACAGTTTTCCATATAAGGTAATGTAGTAGATAGACAAGCAGCTAATTGTGCCTTCAGTTTTTTTAATTTATTTTCCACTTCCTCCTTCTTCTGAAGAGCAAGTTGTTTGTCTGCATCTGCTACGTTAGCACGTTCTTTTGCTTCTTGGGCTTCTTTCTGCCACGCATCACATGCCTGGGAGAAAAATTTTAAGAAATTAATTAAAAAGCACATTCAAAAGCCTTCAGAGATGAAGGTATTCTCTAATTTCAGAAAAAATAATGCATTTACTGCCTATTCAATACTTCTACCTACTTATCCTACTTTCTTATTAACAACTCTTCCTGTTTCGTCTTACTGTAATTTTTAGGTATGTCCCTGTTACTTGTCTGTAGACAGCCAGAAGCCTTTTGGAGCAATATAAATGGAACACATTTTAAATGTTAAATTCACAATTTATTGTTTTAATAATTAAGTAGTACAGCTATTTAGCTACTCCTCATCACAGAGAGAACAACATGAGGGGAAGGAAAGGACTGCAGAAAATGCACTAGATTGGCAGTTAACAACCTCAGTTTGACTGCTGAGATGGCTAGATACTGTCCAAGTACACCATACAACCACAGCTGCTGACAAACCTCTTACTTTTTTTTTGCATGCTTATCATATTGAAAGAGGTACAGGAGGGAATTTACGTCTTTAGTTACTTAAACATCAAGATACATTGCTGTTCAGCCCTATCCTCAATATGTGTAAGTGTCCCTGTCTAGAGGGGCAGATCAACTTTAACTGAAAATTAATAGAAAATTAATTGCCCTTTAAAAAGCTCAGGTTCCTTCATGTCAGTAGCTCATTTTGAGGATGGAAAAAGCATTCCTTTGACAGATTATAATAAATTTCGAGCTCCAAGGATAAGAAGATATGTAAAAAGCAGTATGAGCAACTTGTTTGTTAAAATATGTATATATAAAAATGTAATATTACAATCAATTAACATACCTGCTTTACTTGTTGCCAAGATTCTTCCCATTGTTTTAGTTTTTTCTTGGCATCATCAAGTTCCTGTCTAACTCGAGTTAGCTCGTTACCACTGGTATTTAAGCTTATTGAGGGAGCAGTGCCACTGCTTAGTACTGGGGTCGGACTTGGAGAGAAACTCCGAGTTACAAAGTCCCAAATACTCCCTGTAACACCATTTAAACCTGTAAAACAAAGGCAGAAAAAAAATAATAATAATTCTTCACACACACCTGCAAAATATTTTATATGCAGAACAAAATCAAGGCACCACATGCACAATTTATACTTTTATCTGCAAGACATGTATTATTTCACTACCTTCAGAAATGTGACAGTCTGAAAAAAGTTTACATTATTTAAAGCAATTCAGCAGACCTAACTCATAGGATTTTTCTTGTCATTTCCATTGAAAGACAGTACAGTCCACAGAAGGAGAAGGAAGTGGGAATTCATTTATACAAAAAAAGTTTTGTTCCTAGCAGCGTATACATCGGTTTAATTCTTCCTCTTTCTCTGTATTTTCCTTTAGCAAAATGCTGCTGCTAAAATGCATTACTGCTGCCTGCAAGCCAATGGCTATATTCTACCCCATTCAAGCACCTCTGTAAATATCTCATCTTCCAAGAGCTCTTTATTTCCCTTCCCTAGGAACAAAAGTTCGCTCCTTGACTTTCTCCCACTTACCACATATAGCTCCATTATCAGCAGTGTTTATCACTATTATCAGCTAGGTTTTGTTGTCCAGATTAAGTTAAAATAAACATGCAAAGCCTTGAACCAAACATTTCTTACTTGCCACGGAGTCTCCTCTTAAAATACACCAAGTGCAAACTTCAACTTACTTACCCAGAGAGTTGTGAGAAGAGGCTGAGGTGCCTAACATACTATGTTCTGTCTTCAAAGGCTGAGGCTGTTGGTGGTGAGGAACCGTAGCGGATGAAACAAAAGACTGAGACAGCGATTGTGCAAGAGAACTGAGTGGAGAGGTTGAAAGGGATGATGAGGAATACAAAGATGAAGAACGAACAAGAGAACCTGGAATACTGACAGGCGCTGAACTGCCCAGTGATCTTTGACCTATGTATGCATTACAGGAAAAAAAAAAAAGAAAAAGAAAAGAAAGATATTCATTCCAAAGCAGTACACAGCTTTATGTATTTTTCTGAAAAACCTATCAAGTGGAAATTATATTTTAAAAAGCCTTCCATTAAAAAAACCCCAACACTTTATCTCCTATTGCCAAAGTTTTTTTTTTTACATTGAACACCTGAAAGTAGTTTTCCAAGTGCCTGAAAACAGAATTTGCAGCTTTACGTAGCAGTGGCCTCATTTGCAGCCACAAAGAAAGGTAAACCACTTTTCACATTTGTATTCAACTTACTAATTTTTACAGCCAACAGAAGCGTAGAAACGGACTGAAATTTAAATGGATTAAGAAAAACTTTGTTTCTGTTTTAATATATAGACATTTTATATAAAATATTTAATAGATATTAATATATGGTTAAGCAAGTGAGACTACATACCTTGAAAATCATACATAGCATAATAATCAGACTCAGCTCAATTTCTTTCCTCTACATACTTTAGTCCAGTAGATTTTAAATGTCAAATATATTTAATTCTCTATGAAAAATGAGTTTGAAACAAAATAAAAATAATAATTTAGTCAAATTGTTCATAATTTCCAAGAATAATTATTCCAACAAAAAATAGGTATCAAAAAAAATATTCAGTCATGCCATTTGCTTAAACATGCACAGATGAAGTGCATTGTCCTGGTCAGCAAACAGTTCAATATTTACTGTGAAGCTTTTATTTTTATGCCTGAATAGCAACTAAAAATGACAGCACCTTTTCTTTAAAAAAGTATAGCAGTCAAGTGATTATACTTAAAACAAGGGTCATGATTCCACTTTTCTGGTTTTGCTTAAAACTGGTGAATTCAAGTCATCAGAGAAAACATCATTCCTTTCAGAAGTATGTCAAAACAAAAATACAGGGATGCTTATTATTAGATGCAATGTCACAGTGTCTTAAAAAAGATATATCTTTACTCAGCAAATACTAACCGCAGTCAGCCTCATGGCCAAATATATGAGGAAGACACATGACATATAACATATAACCACAAATGTACATAATATACCAGACAATAAATGTACACTGATCTTTGCAAGAAGAGCAAGGAATCAACCAAGTAAAGGGAGTTCAGTTTAAAAATCCAGTGAAATAAGAATTCACTTAAAGATCAAGAGCCCACAAATGAACACTGTATGAGATAATAGCAGAACAATCATCACTTTTCTGGTTCTTAAAGTAGTCTTCAAATCCATCTGAATTTTGGTAAATACAATCTGCTTGCATGTCTTAAGTTTACAGAGCAAGGTTTCAGTAGCAGGGCAGGGGGAGCAGGGGTGGCCAGGAGAGGACAGAGGCTGCTTTATGCCAGACACAGTTGGTTCCAGCCAGCTTCAGCAGACCCACCACAGGACAACGCTGTACCCTTCAGCCGTGCTGGTGGCGACTCTGAGAGAACGAATTTAAGAAAGGAAAAAAAAATGCCACCAGGCAGAGGAGGAAGAAGCACAAGGTGTGAGAAACAACCCGGTGAACAGTAAGGTCAGGAAAGAAGGAAGTGGAGTTGCTACTCCAGTTGCCAGAGCAGAGATTCCTCTGCAACCCATGGAGGGTTTGGAAGACACCATGGTGGAGCAGGTATTACCCTGCACCTAATGGAAGAGAGTTCAGTACAAGCAGGAATTTCCCTACGGCCTGTGGGCAGGACCAGGTCAGAGCAGGTGGTTATTGCCTAAAGGAACTGCAGCTCACGCTGGTGCAGGTTCTCCTGACAAGAACTGTGGCCATGAAGAGGATCCACACTGGGGCAGGGACAACTGTGAGGAGAAAGGAGCAGCAGAGAGAAACTGTTATGAACTGCCCGTCACCTGCTATTCCTCTGCATCGCTCAGGATAGGAGATGTAGAAAAGTTCAGGATGAAGTGAACCCTGGTCAAAAGGTGGCAGGGAGTTGTTTTAGTTTTTCCTCTTTGTTTCTCAACATCCAACTCTAGTTTAAACTGGCAATAAAGACATTTTCCCCAAATCAAGGCTCTTGTGCCCATGACAGCAAGTGGTAAGTGATCTCTCTGTCTTTATCTTCACCCACAAGCTTTTTCACCTTATTTTCTCCCCGTGCCCTTTGACAAGGGGGAGTGAAAGAGCAGCTGAATGGGTGTCTGGCTACTCACCAAGGTCAACCTATTACACCTCATGAATGATAGATCCACATATATATAAAATTGGTTACAGTATCCATACTTCATGGTACTTCCAATGAAGCATAATCATTCCTGCAGCATAGAACAAGGCAGTAAATGAAGTATCAGTCTAACAAACTATAGCATTAGAAGAATTGCTGAGCCTGACATCACTAGCAAAGAAATAAATTTGAATTTGCACACATTATCAGTTTCTTTCTAAGGCTGTATGAAGGAATATCATGAACAATAATTAAGAGCGTTAATAGAAAACATATAAACTGTTCTGGTAAAGGAACAATCTGTAAGCAACATTACTGGATATCAGACGGTAAGAAGTCCATTAACCAAAATAAATACAAAGCCCTACAACCTCTGAAGATATTCCTACTAATATTATTGATGAGAACCTACATAAAACCAGATGACTACCTACCGAGACCGTAAAATTTTGCATCATTCTCTATGGATCCCCTAATAACCTGAAGTACTACAAACACAGCCTCTAGTAACAACGAACCAGCCTGGGAGAAAACACAGTCAAGGTGGGAGAGGCACCAGCGCTTGTAGCACTGTTGTCAAGATCTCAGAAATTAATATTTGGTGTAACAAAATCCTTAGTCATGGATATCCAGCACTACTTTCTTCTAACTCTTTTTATCAATAATGAAGCCACTGCTACAAGCCGCCTAGATCTACTTGATGCTGAAAAAGTAACACCACCAAATGTGAATTGTGAACTGCCTCCCCAAATGTTCTGCTCTGATCTGAAGACAGCAGCACGTCAGCAGTCACTTTATGTGAAGCATCTTCTGCCAATCTCCAAATGAGTGAACAGATGAAGTGGAAAGGTCCATTTTAAACCAAAGTACTTTCCTGAATTCTCTGTTTGCTCTTAAGTTTCATGTGCCCACACACTACTGGGTGATTAAAATTAGTGATCTCTCCCAGAACTGTTTCCTTTCACTGCAACGGAAGCACCTGGAGGAGGAGAAGCTTGAAGTAGAATCTTTCTGAACATCTGTGTCATTTCTAAAAGAAACAACTTAGAGTTGCTTATAATATATGCTTTCCTGAGGGAGCGAGGGCACTTGGTGTTCACTTGACTCAAAATTATTTCCACGGTTTATGATCAAGTTTTCAATCTGTAATAACTGGGTACTGTCCTATCCACTGCAGTCCCACTGACAGCTCACATGTTCCAACAATATCAAATATATCTATTAAAGCCAGTGGAATAAAGATACAATAATTATCTTAAAGGAAGAAAAAACTGCATAATGTACACAGACACTAAGTGCAAGCTTTTCTTCTTGGAGCAACAGTCAGCAATAATAAACTATGGCATAGCTATAGCTGTTTCACCCTTTGTGTCTAGAGCCAAAGGGCAAAAAGGACACAGGAGGCACATGTTTGCCATACAAGAACACAGTTTTGCAAACAGCACATGTGGAAGCTTAACAGATATACACAACCAACTTAATCACCAACTTAATCACCATAGATGTCATTCAAAGAAATGTTAGCAAAACAAGCATCAGAAAACAAGTGGAAGTAGTATAAAACTGTGTCAATTTGCTTGCTCTGTGACTCTCAAAGGAATACGATAATAAAAATTAAAGTTCCACTTCCTGTTTTTCTATATTTTTCTCCCAATTATTTTCCCTTCTCTACTTTCATAAAGAAAAAGGTGACATTTTAATTTCTTGATGTTCCTCCTGTTCATCCTGCAGTCTCTTCCCTGCACTGCTCTCCTTTGCTGTGTTCCTCTCCTTTCCCAGAAGCAGCCAAACAGCTGAATACTTCCCAACAGAACTTCAACTAAATTGTTCCTCCCAGATTCAATTCATAAAAAGATTTAAGTCCCTAACTTGCAAGTATCACAGTCCTAAAGATTGCTAGCTCCTTGGTCTCAAGAATTGTCCCCACTCCCTCTCTCGGCAACCACCTAATCATGGAAGGACTTGTCAGTCCCCAAAACACACACTGCTTCCTGTCAGACATTTGCAGCACTCAATGTGCAGGCTGTCAAGCTCAAGCATAATGCCTTCCTGTAAATGCATGTAAGTCCTTCCACCAGCTACTACACTCATGGGCCCAAGACATAAAGCATGTAAAAAACCACCAAAACAAACCAGCCAACAAAATGTTTAACCGATCCTTTACAAAATACAGATAACATGATACTGGTACACTCTCTTTACACCACAAAGTTAAACAAAACTGGAACAAAACTGAGGATTTTTCTTCGAAGTCTTTGCTGTAACTATTTTAATGAGTAAAAGCTTTAAAATGTAAGAAAAAGATATATTAAATTAGTATAATTTTACAAATTTGACCTCTTACTTGTTAATCCAAGGTCACTGCCTTCTTGATCTTCTAACTCTCTATCTACGGATGCGACGTTCACATCATTAAAATGCAAATCTAAAGCAGGATCTGTTAAACAATACATATCAATGAATTATCCTTGAATTATTCATAACATTATCATGATGGCTGAAATGAAGAAACTGCGACTATTTTTGTGTTTCCATCACATATCTTTCACACCTCGGTCACGAATTAATCACACTACAGACACAGTGAAGGACATACCCTGTATTTTGTTAAAGGGAAAACTTTCATCTATCATTTATTACAGCTCTTTAACCTGGTGATACGAACAGAGAACAATGGAGATGTGGCAATCTACGTGGGTTTTCAACAAATCAGTGTCACCTGTTGTGTTTAGATGTATGTCAACAGAAAAAAGAGGAAAAATAAAAGTTGGATACCTGTGAAAAATATTCTTATTATTATTGAATAAACCCAGGAATCTGTATCTGACAACAGGTATTATAAATGCCCCTTACAACAGTTAGCCCTTGTGGTAACTGAGTTACATATCAGGGCTTACAGATGCCAGGAATGTCAGAACATTCAAATGAAAATGTACAATACTTTATTTTAACGTAAAAATAAAAACCCCACAATATTTCAGTCAGGCTCAAGAATTAGACTGCCTTTCATTTTAAGGCTTACGATGGTCTAAAATTTCGCTAGGCAATGCCATGAAAGAGTTCTTAGCATTATATTTCTTATTAGGTCCACAGCTTATAAAGTGTTAGAAGATGGGTATTTTTTCCTTTCTTCCTGTTCTTTTCTGCATGGAAAGGAGTATAATTAAGGAATCTACCCCTCTGTACCTATGCTTCAAATAATGTTGAACAACTGCACAGACAGGATGACAGAAGAGAAGTCTGCATAAATACTGATTTTACAGGTATGAAAGACAGTATCATCCCAGTCACTGTGGTCAGTGATAGTGACCACCTTTGCAAGCAAATTTTAGATTTGAAATTGAAATTTTTTTATTAAAAACTGGCACAAAGCCTAAATGAGTTGAAAAAGAACAAACAGAAATAAAAGAGACACTGCCCTGTGTAAAGCTTCTTTAAGATCCAAAACAGATCTCTTAATCCCTCTGGAATTACACCAATTCCTCTTGATAGCCTAGTCCTAAACATTAGGTACTGTAAACTGTACAACATCTTTGACAGAAGTACAAGACAGTTGTGAAAGTGCTTGAAGTCAGAAACTGAAAGGGCCATTTGGATCATTCACGCAAGACTAGTGCAATGTTATTACGTATAGACATTTTCTAATGTTGACAAGGCTATCTAAAGAGGCTCCATGGCCTCAGAGCTCCAGAGAACACATACAGGGAGTTACTGACCTAAAAGAAGGATCCATAGAACAGCACGAAGCTGACTAAGCTACCAGAACAAAATACCAGCCAAGAGATAAAGTTCACATACCGCACAACACTCCTGACAAAGGTACCTGAGAGTTGACATAGCTCTTTATGAAGGGTTACTAGTCAGGGTCTCAAAAAACCACTTCATTAGTATGGAGGTGTGCCCAAACTATAATCCTTATCTTTCAGCAGAACTGACAAACCAACTTAGTGTCCAAAAGTCACAGGAAGAAAGATCATAGCTTCACAGAATGTTAGGAGTTGGAAAGGACCCCCAGAGATCAAGTGCAACCCCCCTGCCAGAGCA